GGTGAATGAACACCTCGGTCAAGTCTTTCCTGTTAGAACAAAACACAGGATGTCACTCCCACCGTGGATAACTCCGGAAACATCAAACATGATTAAGAGAATGAACACCGCGAAGAAAAAGTTCCCTAGTGAAAGCCCAAAATTGAAATTTATGTCCGAAAATTGCGACAAAGCAGTTGAAGATGACAAGTCACAGTATGAAACATTGTTATCCAATGGCAGATCTACATCAGCACTTTTCAAGTATTTTCGCTCATTTACTAAAGGAACCCTACCATCCGTGATGAAATATAACGACCATGAAGCAACAAATGACCAAGAAAAAGCAAATCTCTTTGCTGATTTCTTTCAAGATATGTACATTAGTTCCAGTGATATTCCAGTACTCAATGACAATGAACCAAGTATCTACCCTATCATAACCGATTTTGATCTATCAGATTCAAGAATCTCATCAGTCTGCGAAAAGTTAGACGTTACCAAATCTAGATGAATTGATTCACTGCCTCCGATTTTATTCAGAAATTGCCCATCAATAAGACACTCTCTTTATCAGATTTTCTACAAAATGAAACAAACAGCAAAGTTTCCTGACCAGTGGAAAAGGTCTCATTTATCCCCTATTCACAAAAAAGGGAACAAGAGTTTGGTTAAAAATTATAGACCAGTGTCATTATTATCAGTTGCCTCAAAAATTTTTGAACGATGCCTTTTTGACTCACTATACGTGCACTATGAACCCTTTTTGCATCAGTCTCAGTATGGGTTCCGCAGAAAGCGTTCATGTATTTTACAGCTAATCGAGTATATGGATATAATATATGAAGCCTTCGATAATGGCAAACAACTTGATGTTATATACACTGATTTCGAAAAGGCTTTTGACCGAGTAGACCATGGGTTGCTCATGAGAAAGCTTCACTTGACGGGAGTTCGTGGCAAACTATTGAGTTTAATATCATCTTACCTTTCATCAAGATATCAAATAGTGAAGGTTGGAGATAATGTTTCCTATGAATTTCCAGTTACGAGTGGTGTCCCGCAAGGCTCAATTCTAGGGCCTTTGTTGTTCTTAGTATTTATCAACGACCTTCCTTCATTGAGTAATTTTTCGACACCCTTACTAGCCGCTGATGACGCAAAGTTTATTTACACGCTTAGTGATACAGCTTCCTTATTTCAAAACGAGTTAGATACAATCTTTGAATGGTCGATCATCAACAACATGCCTTTCAATGTCACGAAATGCAACCACTTAACCTTTAATGCCAAATCTATGAATACATACTTCTTTGACGGAAATCCAATCCCCCGGAGTACTAGCCAAAAAGACCTCGGTTTAGTAATATCTGAGACAATGAACTGGCTTCCACACATTAAGCAAGCTGCGAATAAAGCCAACTCTGTACTTTACCTGATTAAACGAAACTCCGCAAGTCTTCAAACCGTTACAAAATTGAACCTTTACAAAAGCATGGTTTTACCTATACTTATCTATGGTTCACCTGCGTTTTCTTTAAACAGAGGTGGAATGCGTTTAATTGAAAGCGTACAGAAACGTTTTTGCAAATGGGCTCTAGGTAACGAAGTTTCATACAAAGATTGCTTAATAAAGCTCAATATTTTACCTATTCCTTACTACCTACAGTTGGTCGATCTACTAACTTTAGCTAAGATTTTGAACGGAACATACAATTTTGACTGCGCCTCCAAATTTTTGAACACTTCCCCGTTATATTTCACCCGATCTGCTGGTGCTTCTCTGTTTCAGTGCGCGCGCCCGATGAAGGAAGTGGCAGAACAGAATTTTTGGTTCAGAGCAAGACGGCTGGCTAACCTATGTCCCATCAAGTTGAACGAATTTGGACTGAAGAACAAGCTCCTGACATGGATGTGGATTGTCTTTGTGAAAAGTTTCTCTGAAAGCAACTTATGCAGCTGGAAGACTTATTGCGACTGTACAACCTGTAGACTTCTCGTAAACACCTGATCAACTGTCTCTGAACGGGGGCAACCCCTTGCGTTTATACGCTAAATTCCTTATAATAATAATAATAATAATATGCAGAAGATAACTTAATTATGCGCCGCAAATTTATGCCATATGCGCTTTGATCCATCAAAAGTTTTGCAAAGAAAGCTAATGATGAAAAGCGAAATTAGAATTATCTGCGAGCTGTGTCCTTGAAGACAGACAGCCGATATGTTTATGCCTCTAAAAATGCAAAAAAAAAGTTGGCTCTTTTCCAGTCCCCCCTTTTCAAATTTAATTTTGAAAAGCTTCTTTAACGTTGACATAATGCAATGAAATTTGGCGTGGTGAACAAATCGACAACTGTGAACAGATTTGTTCTTCATACTTTACAGCGTAACATCACGCATTTAGCCGTAAAAACACGTAAATCAAACATAAAACTCGGTATTTTGAAAAGGGGGGACTGGAAAAGAGCCAAAAGGTAGACTGAAAGTGAACGTTCCCAAACTGAAGATTGTATATTTTATTCCAATTTTGTTTTAAAGAACAAAAGCTTCCCAGTCCGGGAGTCCAACCCGGGCCTCCTGGGTGAAAGCCAGAAATCCTAACCGCTAGACCAACTGGGATATGATTCCACTAGTGCTTCATTTTATTGGTTCTAAGCTGAAACAAACGTATGAATGAACCAAAAGAACTGAAGAGCAATGAATTAATACCAATCAACCAACCATACCACTGACATGTTTTAGAAACCAGAGAAAATGACCAACACAGAGCGATTTGGCGCTAATTTAGAATCAGCTGCGTTGGAAATTGACAACGCTGCGTCAACTTATACACAAGGACTAAAACAATTCGGATCTGCGCAAAAGGAACTCGGTTACTTGTTGTTCCATTTAAATTTTTTCTGCGTAACTATGATATTTTTATAACTTTTTTATGTTACTCAAAAACTGAATTTTTCGTTCCTTTCAACAATTTTGTTAACTTATTAGAAACTTTGGGGTGTGGCTTAAGGTGGCGGAAGGGGCTGGGTTCAGGTCGTGGGGGGGTTTGTTCAGGTGGAGGGAGTTCAGTGGGGGGGGGGGCAAAGGGGCAAACGTTCGGGGGGGGGGGGGGTGGGGAGAGCTTAACTGAATCTTTTTGCAATTTGAGTTTAAGTTTTGAAATAGATTAGGCCGTACACTCGCTTTGCAAATTTTGCGCATAAATCACTTGATAATTGCAGAAATTCTTGCAAAACTTTGCACGACGCGCGAAACAAAAATTAAGTGGAAAAAAAATCCATTTTAATGTGATTTCCTACTTATTATAAAATCCAATATGATGGACTCGAAATGAATTATAATGAATTTTGTTTCGGCGAGAAAAAATGGATTTAAATCCATTTTCAGTACAATTTTGTTGTCTGAACGTAACATGGGAATCGATAATTTTTACAACACTTTAGACCACAAAAATCCATTATAATCAATTTGTTTTCACTTTTCTTAAATGAGGGCTTTTAGCCTTTCAAATTCATTCAACATGTTCAGGCATCTCAATCAAAACTTCCAGCAGATAAAAATAATAGCCGAAATTGCCAAAATATTAAACTTTGTCTAAAAGTTTGTTAAAATTTTGCCCGGACAGGAAAAAGGGACCAAGTTAACCGAGCATTTTACATGCAGCGCTTAGCAAATTTAATTTAAATTAAGCACTGGGGTGGAGGATCTTAACTTGGTCTATTTGGGGGAGAGGCTGTTAACTTGATCCGGAGGCTGATTGGCTGAAAATTCCCAACGTAGAACCAAGTTAACATCCTCCCCCCTAGTTTAGGGGGGAGGATTTTAACTTGGTCCGATCCGGAAGAAGGGTTCTTGTTAACTACCCCCCCCCCCCCTATTGCAACAGGGGTGAAATAGTTCACAAGGTACAAACTTCGAATACGCTTAACTGATGGGGGGGAGATTCGTTACAAGGTTTCATGAGGGGGGAGGGGAAATAGTTAACAAGATCCAGAGAAAGTTCGTAAAATGGCTTCAGCAGAATAAAAGTTTATAATTTTGGTTATTTCGGCCACCAGTTTTATCTGCTTCGAATTTTAATTGAAATGCCGGACCATTTAGCCAATACTTATTTTTGGCCGTTTAGTGCATAAGACCCAATCGGACGACAGGCCATCAGGACGACAAGACATTGAGACGACAAATAGGAGTTAATAAACATGTAAAATGAGCAAGATAGAATTTAAGCGGTTTAAATTTCTCAGAAATACAATGTGCAGAATTGAGTGTAGCCCATCAAAACGGTTCTCGTCGTCCTAATGTCCTGTCGTCTTGTTTGCCGGTCACCGTTTAACAGAAAGACCCCAAAAATTGTCGGGTTTTCTGCAAAATTCTGCATATATGCAGAAGATAACTTAATTATGCGCCGCAAATTTATGCCATATGCGCTTTGATCCATCAAAAGTTTTGCAAAGAAAGCTAATGATGAAAAGCGAAACTAGAATTATCTGCGAGCTGTGTCCTTGAAGACAGACAGCCGATATGTTTATGCCTCTAAAAATGCAAAAAAAAAGTTGGCTCTTTTCCAGTCCCCCCCTTTCAAATTTAATTTTGAAAAGCTTCTTTTGAGGCAAACGTTCGGGGGGGGGGGGGGGAAGGGGTGGGGAGAGCTTAACTGAATCTTTTTGCAATTTGAGTTTAAGTTTTGAAATAGATTAGGCCGTACACTCGCTTTGCAAATTTTGCGCATAAATCACTTGATAATTGCAGAAATTCTTGCAAAACTTTGCACGACGCGCGAAACAAAAATTAAGTGGAAAAAAAATCAATTTTAATGTGATTTCCTACTTATTATAAAATCCAATATAATGGACTCGAAATGAATTATAATGAATTTTGTTTCGGCGAGAAAAAATGGATTTAAATCCATTTTCAGTACAATTTTGTTGTCTGAACGTAACATGGGAATCGATAATTTTTACAACACTTTAGACCACAAAAATCCATTATAATCAATTTGTTTTCACTTTTCTTAAATGAGGGCTTTTAGCCTTTCAAATTCATTCAACATGTTCAGGCATCTCAATCAAAACTTCCAGCAGATAAAAAATAATAGCCGAAATTGCCAAAATATTAAACTTTGTCTAAAAGTTTGTTAAAATTTTGCCCGGTCAGGAAAAAGGGACCAAGTTAACCGAGCATTTTACATGCAGCGCTTAGCAAATTTAATTTAAATTAAGCGCTGGGGTGGAGGATCTTAACTTGGTCTATTTGGGGGGGAGGCTGTTAACTTGATCCGGAGGCTGATTGGCTGAAAATTCCCAACGTAGAACCAAGTTAACATCCTCCCCCCTAGTTTAGGGGGGAGGATTTTAACTTGGTCCGATCCGGAAGAAGGGTTCTTGTTAACTACCCCCCCCCCCCCCCCCCCTATTGCAACAGGGGTGAAATAGTTCACAAGGTACAAACTTCGAATACGCTTAACTGATGGGGGGGAGATTCGTTACAAGGTTTCATGGGGGGGGGAGGGGAAATAGTTAACAAGATCCAGAGAAAGTTCGTAAAATGGCTTCAGCAGAATAAAAGTTTATAATTTTGGTTATTTCGGCCACCAGTTTTATCTGCTTCGAATTTTAATTGAAATGCCGGACCATTTAGCCAATACTTATTTTTGGCCGTTTAGTGCATAAGACCCAATCAGACGACAGGCCATCAGGACGACAAGACATTGAGACGACAAATAGGAGTTAATAAACATGTAAAATGAGCAAGATAGAATTTAAGCGGTTTAAATTTCTCAGAAATACAATGTGCAGAATTGAGTGTAGCCCATCAAAACGGTTCTCGTCGTCCTAATGTCCTGTCGTCTTGTTTGCCGGTCACCGTTTAACAGAAAGAGCCCAAAAATTGTCGGGTTTTCTGCAAAATTCTGCATATATGCAGAAGATAACTTAATTATGCGCCGCAAATTTATGCCATATGCGCTTTGATCCATCAAAAGTTTTGCAAAGAAAGCTAATGATGAAAAGCGAAATTAGAATTATCTGCGAGCTGTCTCCTTGAAGACAGACAGCCGATATGTTTATGCCTCCAAAAATGCAAAAAAAAGTTGGCTCTTTTCCAGTCCCCCCCCCTTTCAAATTTAATTTTGAAAAGCTTCTTTAACGTTGACATAATGCAATGAAATTTGGCGTGGTGAACAAATCGACAACTGTGAACAGATTTGTTCTTCATACTTTACAGCGTAACATCTCGCATTTAGCCGTAATAACACGTAAATCAAACATAAAACTCGGTATTTTGAAAAGGGGGGACTGGAAAAGAGCCAAAAGGTCATCTAGACTGAAAGTGAACTTTTCCAAACTAAAGATTGAATATTTTATTCCAATTTTGTTTTAAAGAACAAAATCTTCCCAGTCCGGGAGTCGAACCCGGGCCTCCTGGGTGAAAGCCAGAAATCCTAACCGCTAGACCAACTGGGATATAAATCAACAAGTGGTTCATTTTATTCGTTCTGAAATGAAACAAACGTATGAATGAACCAAAAGAACTGAAGAGCAATGAATTAATACCAATCAACCAACCATACCACTGACATGTTTTAGAAACCAGAGAAAATGACCAACACAGAGCGATTTGGCTCTAATTTAGAATCAGCTGCGGTCGAAATCGACAACGCTGCGTCAACTTATACACAAGGACTAAAACAATTTGGATCTGCGCAAAAGGAACTCGGGAAATCCGAACGACGATTCGGCCGAGAAGTCGAGAAATGTTGCATTCAGCCGATGAAGAAATTTCTGGCTGAAGATTTGGAAGCGGCTCTTAATGAGAAAAGTGCCCTGGACACTCTTAGACTGGATCTGGATGTGGCTAAAAATAAGGTAGCGAAGGCGAAAGGAATAGTAGATCGAGAGAAAGCTGAGAAAGTGTTGCAGGTTCGTTCTTTAGACCATTTATCCACGAGAAAGGACCAACACAAGAGCTGTACAGCTCATCACGGCGAACCGCTGTTGTGCCCCTGTTTAAGAACTACATGCTTTTTTTGGTTATTTTTCTTGAATCTTTATCGGATTATTAATGCTTCTACTTGTCTGTAATTCGATATTTTGCATTGTACAGCTTGCAGTTAAACGCATTCGGCCAATCAGATTGGACCAACCAGATTGTGTTGTAGGCACCGTGACACTATGAATTATAGTTGGTCAATTAGCCGACAAATCGCGTATCATTACATGATATCTTATAGGCGATGAATTACAACCAATAACCAAAATCAGGGTGGCTATTTTCTAGTCCCCACTTTAATTTTTTCTAAAATTCAATATTTGAAAGCCTACTCGGCTCTTTTCCAGTTCCCCCCCCTTTCAAAATAACGAGTTTTATATTTGTTTTACGTGTTATTACGGCTAAATGCGTGATGTTACGCTGTAAAGTATGAAGAGCAAATCTGTTCAGAATTGTCGATTTGTTCACCACGCCAAATTTCATTGCATTGTGAAAGGGGGAACTGGAAAAGAGCCACAAACTGCCATATGAACAGTTTCTAAACAATTTATGTTGTAGTTTTACGAGGGGGTGGAAAACTGTAAGGGGAAAAGGCTTTTTTTCCTTTCCCCATACCTGCAAATTTTTACAAGTAAACTTGTTGACCACATTGTCCGATTGTTATGAAAATATGAGGTGGGGGTGGGGGGGGTGAGAAAAGCCTTAAGGAAAAGCCATGGCTCTTTTTCCTCTCTCCCCCCCCCCCCCCACACCTCACGCCAGTTTCAACTTATTAGTGTAACGAGTGGTTTTACGAGGTTGAGTATGAAGACTAAATATATTTGTCGTGGCATTATTAGTCTGTATGTAAGCTTTCATAACAATCGGACAATGTGGTCAACAGGTGGGGAGGGGGGGGGGGGGGGAGAAGGAAAAAGAGCCAAAGCCATAAGCCATCAGGGTCAATTGTTAGAAACAAAAACAACAAGACTGCTCGTACCAGGGCGAAGCCCTGAATGTGCATTATTAGTCTGTATGTAAGCTTTCATAACAATCGGACAATGTGGTCAACAGGTGGGGAGGGGGGGAAGGAAAAAGAGCCAAAGCCATAAGCCATCAGGGTCAATTGTTAGAAACAAAAACAACAAGACTGCTCGTACCAGGGCGAAGCCCTGAATGTGCATTATTAGTCTGTATGTAAGCTTTCATAACAATCGGACAATGTGGTCAACAGGTGGGGAGGGGGGGGGAAGGAAAAAGAGCCAAAGCCATAAGCCATCAGGGTCAATTGTTAGAAACAAAAACAACAAGACTGCTCGTACCAGGGCGAAGCCCTGAATGTTCCGACTGCCTTTTAAGGTTTATGGAGCAGCAGTAATAACATTAAAAAATTAAATGAATTAAAATAAAATGAAAAAAAAAATTCGAAAATTTGAATTTTTTTTAATGAAAATCATCCCCACACGCCATATAAAGTACAACAAGACTGCTCGTATCAGGGCAAAGCCCTGAATGTTCCGACTGCCTTTTAAGGTTTTATGGAGTTAAAAAATGAAGTTATGGAGTTGTTTTATGGTATTAAAAAATTAAATGTAAGAAAAAATAAAATGAAATTTTTTTTTCTAAAATTTGATTTTTTTTTTGTGAAAATCATCCCCCCAGACGCCATATATCGTACAAAAAGATAGTTTTCGTTCCTTGTGATTCGAGCCAATCAATTATGGCAAATAAGCTTCGTTCAACCAATTTGGAACGATTTATATGACGGATTAAATCTCCGCTTACGCGTTAATAGCGCGAATTATATCGCGCGTTAATTGTCCCAAATTGGTCAACATGGCAATCTTTAAACCCTCCTAACTTTACGAAAAATGATCACAGGTGAAATATGTTTTCAAATTTAAGCTCAGGACAACAATACCTTTTGAATGATAAAAAAAAATTCCGTCAAAAATGGCTAGGTAAAAAGTCGAATTTTGTCTTAAGAAAAAAAAAACCCACCCCGAGCACAAATATTCCGTTACTTTCGTATCGAAAGTCGGAACAAAAAGAGAGATTTCGTTCCTTGTAACAAATCAATTATGGCAAATAAGCTTCGTTCAACCAATTTGGAACGATTTATAAGACGGATTAAATCTCCGCTTACGCGTTAATAGCGCGAATTATATCGCCTGTTAATTGTCCCAAATTGGTCAAAATGGCCAAAATGGCAATCTTTAAACCCTCATAACTTTACGTAAAATGATCACAGGTGAAATATCTTTTCAAATTTAAGCTCAGGGCAACAATACCTTTTGAATGGTAAAAAAAATCCCGTCAAAAATGGCTAGTTAAAAAGTCGAAATTTGTCTGAAGAAAAAAAAACCCACCCCGAGCACAAATATTCCGTTACTTTCGTATCGAAAGTCGGAACAATAAGTACCCGAGAAAAATCTATCTTCGCTTCGGCACTTACCCTTCGTAAAGTATGATATAAAATGGAGATGTGGGGGATCGAACCCCAGACCTTCCGCATGCGAAGCGGACGCTCTACCACTGAGCTACATCCCCGTTGATTTGGGGGACTGCACCAAAATCGAAAACTGAATGGTCTGAATGGTGTATCTCTGCTGTGATATAATTTTGGTGAATGACAAGGACAAGGATAGGTCTGGTCTTCTCTTTTATCCAACCCAAAAATGATCTTTCTGCTATTTTGAAAATTGCGTCATAAATCTAATCTGATTGGTTGAAATTATTAACAAACTATCAACAGCAAAAGAAGGCTCTTTTTCCTTTTCCCCCACCTGCAAATTTTTTAGAGTAATTTTTCTATTCACATTGTCGGATTGTTAATATTCACAATGGAGGAAAAAAAACCAAAAGAAAATCAAGACTTTCATTATAATCGAAATGTTTGGTATATCAAAAAAAATCTGTTACTCAATTCTGATTGGCTGAAAATTACTAAAAATAAGTTTCCATCATTGGTCCCTCCATCATGAGGGACGCCCATGTGAAACATTTATTCGTTTACCGCCTAATTCAATTAATTACCCACCAAACTACTTTCCGTTTGTTTGTTTTGCTCTTTATCAAATTCACTGGATCTACTTAAAAATCTCCCCCCCCCCCTATTGTACCTACTAAAGAATCCCCACGCCCTATCTTGAAAGGGGGGGGTTTGTTAAGTAGATCCAATTCACTGTCTAGATCAGACCCGTCGGTTCTTTTACCTTTCCCCGGCTCTTTTTCCTTTTCCCCCCACCTCACTCGAACATGAATATTATGGTCTAACGAGCGGTCTTACAAGGTTAATTATGGGGACCAAATATGTTTGTCATGGCCTAATTAACCTACTTGCCAATTAACCTACATGACTATCGGGCAAAGTGAACAGTAACTTCAAATGAAAAAATTTGCAGGTGGGGGGGGGGAGGAGGAAAAAGAGCCTTCCCCCCCCCCCCCCCTCACCTGTAAAACTTTACAAATGAAAAATTTGTTCACATTATTCGATTGTTATCAAAATTGGCATACGGACTAATTAGGCTGTGCCAAACATATTTGGTCTTCATAATTAACCTTGTAAAACCACTCGTTACATAATAAAATTGATGCTCGTCTGAGGTGGGGGAAAAAGGAAAAAGAGCTGACCCGTCTCTTAGGAAATTAGACGAAAAGCAAATTAGACGTGACCAAAAAAAAAGATTTTAGACGTCGATGCAAAACTACAAAAATATGGGAAATTAGACGCAACTGTATTGTTAACGTGTGTGAAATTTGTAAAAGACCAATTAACTTTCGCTGACTACAGCTAACTTTCGTTCGAGCTTTCGTAAATGGTGATCAGTTTTTCACATGTCGCAATTGTATAATTTATGCATTTCAGAATAATTTTTATATAATATGGATTAACGTTTTATAAATCATTCATAATAAATATTTTGGTATGCAAAGGGATTATAAACTCTTTTTATATTTGTGAAAATTTATTTCAAGCATTAAAACTTTTGTTAGCCCTTTACTTTTCGTCCAAAATACTAGACTTGCATTTTATTGGAGACGTCAAATTTGCTTGTCGTCTAATTTCCTAATCTTTCTTCCTTGTGTTGTCTTAATTTTTTGAGTTGTCCTAATTTTTTTTGCAAAAATTTCAGTCCTTGCGACAAGGAAGTGAAATAAAACACTTGTACAATGTGGGCTTTTTTCCCTAACCACCCACTGCTTTTTAATTTTTTGCGCTCAAGAATCAAAATTTTACATTACGAGGCCAAACTGTGCACTGGATAGGAGCATAATTTTGTGTCTGTATGTTCCTGGATTCCAGAGACAAGTCTTTAAACATGTGAAAATTTTGTCGGAACGATCAAAGGAAAGTAAAGAACAAAAGAAGAACAAAGGGAGCGTTCTTGTTGCGGAATCCGCTTACAATGCACAAAATGCTCAGTTGGGCTTCGTAATGTATCAGTTTGAACCAAAATTCGGGTTCAAAATTGTAACCCCAAAAAAAACAATTTCGGCTTTCCCGGGTTGACCAAAAATGCTAGTCATACAATTTCCATATATGGAAAAATGCTAGTCATACACTCTCCATGCAATTCCATACGTACAGAAAATTGCATGAAAGGTCGCATGATTAGTATTGCATGACTAGTATTTTTTCATATATGGAAATTGCATGACTAGCATTTTTCCAAAAACCAAAAATATTGATTTTTTTACATTTTGATTTCTCAAAATTTTTGGTTGTGTTCGTAACCGAACACAAATGACATAAACCTTGGTTACTCAAACGTAATAACCAATGTTAAATGCTTTGGAAACAGCCTGCAAGGTCGTATGTCTGTCTTACGCAAATAATATAACGAAAGTATCAACTTTTTAAATTTTGGCAAAAATTTTCAAAGATGATTATTTCTAAAATTTGACATTCAAATTACCAGACTTTGATCAAGGCATACAAAAACATGCCATACAAAAAAGAGGAGTCTTGAGCATTTTTGAAAAATGTTATCAAGAGAAAAGGAAAAAAATCCAATATTAGTATATCCAGGTCTACAAAATGTTTTAGTACGAAAATCATTTTGCGGTTGAACAAAAACACAAAAAATTTTTGGGTGCAATTTCAAAATTACTTTGAAACATTTTTGTTGTCGCCATCAAAAAAATGCTAGTCATACAATTTCCATATATTGAAATTGTATGATTAGCATTTTTTTTTGACAAAAAATTTTTCTTTTTTATTTAGTACGTTTCACCAAATTTTATACCAAAACAAGAGAAAAGTGCTTCGAAAATTTGATGACACCATTTTAGCAAAATGTATGAAATTTGTATGGTTAGTATTTTTTCATAGACTTAGTTTATGGAATTGTATGACTAGCATTTTTGGTCTATGGAGGTCAACCCGGGTTTTTAGTTTTCAATTACTTCAAAAATATTTCATAGTGAGCCTAGTACAAGGCCCAACAATTTTTGACAGAAAATTAATATCCGGAAATTGGGCAAAGCGTTTCAAATTGTTTTCAAATGTTAGTGTTTTTTATTGTAAAAACGAACTTTTTTGTCAATCAAACAGTAATAGAACAATCTATATAAAATTGTGAAAGATAAGCCCACCTTAAATTTTCTTGTGCTAAGTAAGCAATATATTTTGTCAGCAATTGAACCAATAGTTTTGGCGTATTTTTTGATTGACTAAAAAGAATTGAAAATGGTCGCTTTTGGGGTCCAAGTTTGGACCCGAGTTTTGCAACAAAATTTGCACAAATTTGTCTGCTGAGTTTTTAACCAAGTTTTGTCTTAATCATTTTTGTCTAAATTCAACCCATTTGAGCAAAACGATTTTTTAAGCAACGTTTTTTCGGCTAAAAGCTTTAGTTATTATAAAAACTTGATCATAGATATATCTTGAATCAGATTGTTTGAAATAAATCAAAATTAGTAGAAACGCTTTTTGAGCAAAATTTTGGGTACTATTTCAATGAGAGAAGGACTGCCAAACCCACCAAATGCACAAAATTTCTCACAATCAACCACGTTCTTAAAATTTCCAAAACCGACTGAATATCACGTGTTTGAATGCTTATTTATGATTGGCTAACATACTTTCCGTGTATTTTGTCTTTTGTTGAAAAGAAAAACAGGCCAAGAATGCGTTTTGACCATTTTTTGAAAAATTTTGGTCAAATAATTTTTTTTTGGCACGCGCTCAAAATAACCAAGTATTTGACGTGAAAATCTCTCTTTGAAAAATTTCATGGTAGTCGACCGAAAATAGATCTCGTAAAATCTCATCTCTGAGTGAGCTGAAAGTCGAATCCCCGAAGAGGAAAATACCCAGTTTTTTTAACCCCGTACAAAGCGGATATTTTCACATTACAAATTGTATACTCTTGTCAGCGCAAAACAACTAACTCATCCCAAAAATTAATAATTCTCATCCAGATATGATAAAGCTTAACTAAATGTGTTTTATATTGACTAATTTTCGATATTTAAAATCTGTCTTCTTTCTCTGCTTACTTTTTAAAATTCTGTTTTTTTCAGGAAGCACAAAAAGATTTCGACCGACAACACGACTTCACTAAAGTCATCATCGGCCGCACGCTCAACAACCACCACACGAACCACGCGAACCAGTTGAAGGAGTTGAGTCGCATCCAGACTAGTCTCTATCGAGAGTGCTCTCAGGTCATGTCGGAATTGGACGAGGAACTCGCTAAGATAGCGATCAAGTGACGATTATAAGTCATATCCAGTTAAACTTGCACACCCTCCCCCCCACACACGACCATCAGCCTCATTTGAAATTTGATTTTGCAAATTGAAAAAAAATTGCGATTGAAAAAAAATGACTCCTCAAAACACAGTTGTTCTTTACAATTTATGTCTTTAAATCATGCATTTAGCATAAGAGCATTTCAGAGATTTTTTTTTGAAAAAATGACAAGTGTGGTGGTGGAAGGGGGGGGTAGAAAGCAGCAGGGGTATTTGGTCTATATGGCAAACTTGGACACATCGAATGTTATTCATCAGTCTATTAAACAGTATCTATTAAAACTACATAATTTTTGTTCCATATATTATCGGGTTTATTAAAAAGTATTTTGGCTCAGGTAATTGTTTTTTGACTAGCAAAATGTTCTCTGATTTCTGCTTTTTTTAATCGATAAATTTATAACCAGCACTATTGCTTTAAGCTGCAGAAACCACCACTATTGCAATAAATTGTGTTATTTCTTCAGTTAATGTCTCGGACATTGAAAAATCATCAATTTCATCTGAGAAGTGTTTAATCAGTAGAGTTATTTAATAGGAATCAGCGCAGAACTACAATTCTCTCGAAAGATGGCATTTTCAAAAAATCGAAAAAAAAGCTTTTTTTTCGCCGACCGAGCAGTTTTTCCGCACTCTCTCGAAAAAACATAAAGATCCCTTTTGAAGAAGTTATATTATGAAAAAGTTGCTTATTATACTGTTTTATACTATTTCATTGACCAAGAAAGATAGTATACAAACAGCATGACCTTTTTTTACATGCTATGGATTTTTTAATAAGCAATTTTGTTTCATTTTGAAATTACGCAACAAGCATTTTGCCATACTTTTGTTACAAAGATTTTATGAAAATATCAAACGCAAGTTTTTTCTACTATGCACAGCGGCGGATCTAGGATTTTCTCGAGGGGTCGATAAAAGTTTTGAAAATTTTGTCGACATTTTCATTTTATGTCGACCAAAGTGAATATTCGAGCTCTCTCAAAGCAAAGCACTGAAAAGACCATCATTTGGTCACAATTTTTTGCCGCAGGCAAAATTTTGAAAAACAGGCCAAAAAAGGCATTTTTGGGCATTTTTTGGAAAATGTTGACCAAGGAATTCTGCTTTTTTGGCGCAAACTAGCTACTCAAAGTTAGTCAATATTGGCGCCAAAGGTGCCTTTAGAAAACTTTCAGGGTCCGTAACCTAATTTGGATATCCCAAAATAGTACAAACGGGTAGACCATTTTGGTCAGCAGTTTGTCGAATTCCTTAGGGGGCAGGCGTCACCCCACGCTAAAACCGCCTCTGACTATGCAGTTGCATAAGAATTTGTATTTCCATAAAAAATACAAAAAATTTCGACCGAAACACACAAATCAAGGTGCTTCTGTCATAAAAAACCTAGAGTACAACTGCCAATTACCACGCAGACAAACTGCGTTTGGTGAACTATAGACTATCCGAAATCTTGAACAACAAGGGTTGGCCTGTACTATTTCTTAGTTCTATTTTGATACTATGGATTTGTATTTGTAGAGGACTGATAAACCGTAAAGGACTGATAATTCACCAAAACAATTACTTAGATCAGCAATTTGAATGAAACACAATAATTGATCCTCAGGTAATTGAATGGTTACGTTTTATGTAGTCCTATCTAATGTTACACAAATTCATTTTTATTTAAATTTCTGTGCACCTGTGAACTTTGTCGCTCTTGGCTAAAACTATATCAGCAAATATAGGAAACAATGCAGAGATAATATGTAGTTCAATCTATCCAGTTCAATCTTTCTTTTTCCTCAGAAGCTTCTCTTACATCTTTGAATGTAAGTTTTCTTTCAGTAACGTTTTGGTACAATGAAAGGTACGTTACTTCTGAAAATGCCAATTCCTATTCTCCTTCAACATAACTTTCTACCCACACTGTAGAAAAGTTGTAAAAAACTAAGGCTACTATTCGGATAACATTTAGATGAAGCATAAGAAACTAGCTAAACAGTAACAGAATCCATGACTACTAATCGATAGACATTTACTCTAACAATTGATTCATTTTAATCTGATCGTTTTCTAAGCTTTCTAAGTTTTTAATATGCAGTATAATCTATCCAGTTCAACCTTTTTTTTTTCTCAAAAGCTTCTCTCACATCTATGAGTGTAATTTTTCTTTGGAGCATTATTTTTTATTGGAGCATTTTTTGACGAGATGGAATGAAGGTTCTTGTTATAGTTTCCATAATATTGTAATGAGCAGCTCCCCGTTCCAGATTACCTTGCCATTGTTGACGACTAGGTTCAGCTACTGAAATTTTTCTAGTAAACAGCGAACAATCAACAGTTTTCAGACTATTATTTAGATTACCACACAGTACGTAGAAAGTTAGGTCTTGCGAGAATTAATTTAAATCGAACTTTGGTTTTTGATACAAACAATTTTTCACAAAAAAAAGGCATCAATGGCAAGCTCTCACAGAGTGAAAACGTTATCCCTGTTCCTATGGAGTTCGCTCCATCAGTGAACAAACTATCAGTTGAATTTTTGCTGCGATATTTGTTCTGCATGAGGATCCATTGGCGTCGTAAACTGGATCCTCAGAATCGATATGTCAAATGTAAGTTTTGTTGAACTAGCACTGAAAATGTTGATTGTTCGCATGACTACTAATCGATAGTCATTTACTCTAACAATTGATTCATTTTAATCTGATCGTTAGATGAATCAGATTAAAAAAAAAATCTGAGGTGTTTGCTGAATCCATGACTACTCGATAGTTTTTGTGTAGTCCTATCTAATGTTACTTAACAACTGGAGAATAGAGAATGTAGTAGAATGTTGGTATAAGTTGAGTAAAGTTCTGGCTCCTCAATATAGTCATCCTCTGATTTTATGATTTTTCTTTTCTGAAAACATCAAACGACCTTCCTTTCAATAATTGAAGTTTTATAAGAAGGTGGGTATATCGCATTTCTAAATAGAGATTAGGCTTCGCCTCAAAACCAAATTCGATTCTACCTTAACTAGTGAAGTAAGAGTAAATACTTGTTTTATCTAAGATGAAATATTTGATTCCACAACTGGGTTTGGTTTTTATCAAAAATCTCCAAAGAAGAGTTTGTAAACTCTCTGGTCCAAACGTGGTTACTTTGATTTATACTCATTTTATATCGTTAAAGTTGTCTTTGCACTCTTACGAAACTGCGTAATCTCTTACGACCTAATTTTAGACTACTGACCCTATTATTTCTAAGCTTAGATGCCTTTTTTCCACTTTCTAACTGATTTCGAGCTGTTTTTGTTTCAACTTATTTTGCAAATGTCTTGAGTTTTTTTCGTCCACTTACAACTTCTCACACCGTCCTGCATGTTCACAAAACTGGAAGATTTAGCTGAGCTTTGAGCAGCCATTTTGTATGAAGTAGAAATCGAAATTGATTATCCGAAATTTTGAACAACAATTGTTGGCCTGTACGATTTCTTAGTTCTATTTTGATACTATGGAAGATTTAAAATTTTTGAAAAGTTTTAAAATTTTGTAAAGGTAGAGGACTGATAAACCATAAAGGACAGATAATTCACCAAAAAAATGGCTTAAATCAGCATTTTGAATAAAACACACTAATTGATCCTCAGGTAAATGAATTGCTACTTTTTGTGTAGTCCTATCTAATGTTACATAAATTCAATTTTATTGAAATTTCTGTGCACCTGTGAATTTTGTCGCTCTTGGCTAAAGCTATATCAACAAAAATAGGATTGGTACGTTTTGGTACAATGAAATGTACGTTACTTCTGAAAATGCAAACTCCCATTTTCCTTCAATACAACTTTCTACCCACACGGTAGAAAAGTTGTAAGAAACTAAGGCTACTATTCGGATAACATTTAAATGAAGCATAAGAAACTAGCTAAACAGTAACAGAATCCATGACTACTCGATAGTCATTTACTTTAACATGTTATTTAATTTAATCGGATCTTTTTCTATGTTTTTCTTTAAAAACACTTCTAAAATTTTATCTTCAAAATATGGTTTGTGTCTTTTTCGGAGCAAAATTTCGTTTTTCGAAACTCTCAATCTAACCCCATTTTTAAAATTTAATTCAGCATGTTTCATGAGCGATTTGTTTTACAAAATTGATTAAAAAAATTATTTTTTTTTCACATGAATTTAATGTAAAAACAAATTGTTGCAACCGGGAAAAAACTTTTCACCATGATTGCAAACGTATGATTAAAGCAACAATTGTTGTATACGATGTCTTGATTTCTAAGAAAGCCCTAGAATACCACTAAAGTCATCATCGGCCGCACGCTCAACAACCACCACACGAACCACGCGAACCAGTTGAAGGAGTTCAGCCGCATCCAGACTAGTCTCTATCGAGAATGCTCTCTGGTCATGTCGGAATTGGACGAGGAACTCGCTAAGATAGCCATCAAGTGACGACTATAAGTCATATCCAGTTAAACTTGCACGCCCCCTCCTCCACACACACGACCATCAGCTTCATTTGAAATTTGGTTTTGCAAGTTGAAAAAATTTCTGCGATTGAAAAAAAATGAATCCTCAAAACACAGTTGTTCTTTACAGTTTATGTCTTTAAATCATGCATTTAGCATAAGAGCATTTCAGAAACTTTTTTTAAAAAATGACAAGTGTGATGGTGGGAAGGGGGGGTGGAAAGCAGCAGGGGTATTTGGTCTATATGGCAAACTTGGACACATATCGAAACTTACTCATCAGTCTATTAAACAGTATCATTAAAAACTACATAACTTTTGTTTCATTTATTATCGGGTTTATTAAAAAGTATTTTGGCTCAGGTAATTGTTTTTTGACTAGCAAAATGTTCTCTGATTTCTGCTTTTTTTAATCGATAAATTTATAACCAGCACTATTGCTTTAAGCTGCAGAAACCACCACTATTGCAATAAATTGTGTTATTTCTTCAGTTAATGTCTCGGACATTGAAAAATCATCAATTTCATCTGAGAAGTGTTTAATCAGTAGAGTTATTTAATAGGAACC